AGGCAGCTCAAATTAGAATGACATGGATCCTCTCGCTTCCTTTGATCGACTTCGAATTTGGGCATGGTCAATCAAAATCCGAAACGGAGGTTTTAATATACCATACTGTACTGTAGTATCTTGGAATTGAATCTTCAAAATTTTTTACATCAAGTAAGGTCAACGCGGGATCACGAAGAAATCAAGAAATTGCGTAGGAGAAGGAATACGAATTTTCTCAAAACAGTGCGGTACTGTATTACACTACACTACAGTACAGTATTATTTTTCAAAAACAAATTATATTAATGCAGCAGTGCAGTAATCGTCAAGACAGACACAAGGTTCAGCTGCTGGCGAGAGAAAGACGGTTTGAAATGTTTTTCGAGACCGCTGCTGTGCAATACTGTATAGGGAAAATAATCTTTGCCCGAAGAGAAAAGAAAGCGTGACGCCCATGCGAGAACAGAGGCGAGGTCTTCACGCCAGAAATGAATTACACGGCGACCTTTCGCAGGTCGAGCACCGCGGAAATCACGCATGAGAAATGGCGATATGATCTCCCTGCAGAAGGGAAGGAGTAACCGCTTGACCCTTGCTGCGTGAAAGCCTGGATTTCAGTCCAGGGCATCCCCCCGGGGTCCGGATTTCCGCCGACTTATTGCCTCACGCAACGCGAGGCATTCCGCATTGTGCGCGTTATTGCTCGTCAGTGGAACAACCGCTGCCTGTCATTCCGCGGCAGGACAATCAATAGCTTGGAAGCAAAACGGACGCTTCATTGATGGTAACCGCTTCCGGTCTGGGATAAGTTCTAATAATGTCGTCCCACAACCTGCTTCACACGAAGAACCACGCTGACTGCGATTGTGTGCACAGTGTTCCATGGCTAAGGTACACGATAGAGCAATAAATTCTATCCCGGATCACTCACAACATTGTAACTTGAACTGAAGAAAATTACACTCTACGTCGTCTTCCCGAATTGGAAGCTTAAGGTACTGTAATTCCAACAAGATTTTGTCACATCAAACCTTTATTTTTCTTGAAAAAAAAGCCACACACGTGGATTCTCTCTCTACGAAAGCCTTGTCTGAAGCGATTTTCTTTTTACAGTCGAACTTCAAGGGACCAGCGAAAATCGACTTCAGAAGGTTTCGAGTCAGGAAAACAAGCATTTGAGTCGGGGGAAAATAAGAATTACAGGAAATTATAATTGGTGATTTTCTTAAATTGCTTCTTGAGTGAGTTGACGGGATGTTGAACTTGGAGGCAACTGTTTACTTACCAAGTTAATCTTTCACTTCCTTCCAAAACAAATCGTGACACTTTTTGTTGTTGCTTTTTTACTTTCCTGCAACAATAAAATAATGGCCAAAAGGCATCCAGAAAAATTGTGTTACGGAGGTTTGACTATGAAAGCCTTTGAGTTTTGGAGGTTTTTAGTGTATTGCTTCCCGGGGAATTTAGACAGGGACGTGAAAAAAATCGACATAGAGAAGAACAGTATTTGACTTCTGGAGGTTCGAGTTATCGAGTTTCAACTAGATGAGGAAGTTTTTGTGGTCCCATGGGGTTCTATCTCCAAGTTTTACGGGTTCTCCGCGACGAATTTCTTTTTGGTCCTTTGAGTTTCGTTGTCGAGAGTCCACCTGTACTTTGCTCGTGAACAATCGGAAGCTGGCAGATTTAGGGACAGTATGCGTGATTTTTCTCAGCAACTCTTGGCAAATCGGGGGTTCCCGCGAAATGCGCTCATTTGGAAAAACAGAAGGAATCCCGGCGCAGGACCGCAGCTTTCAGTGCCGCGGGCATTTGTCTCCCCTCGGAAAATCGGCCCCACGTTTGCGTTTGGTTTCGCAAAGCCATGACCAAACAGAGAAGAGAACTCGTGGAAAAAAAAGGGGAGCAATGTCAAGCGGCGGTTAACTTTCGCACAAGAGCCTGCGGACAGGAGTACGGGCGAGACAAATCGCTGTGCTTCTAGAAATAACTTTCAGCTGCGAGACGGTGGGTATCTTAGTTTCGGGGGAATGGTTGCATAATCGGGGAACAGCTGAGGGAATACACGAGCTATGCTACTCTTCGAAGGACTGTATGTTTAGACGTGAACTACGAAAAATTTAAAATGCTTCTCGCGACTGTAGCACATGTACAGTAAAGTAGTTAAATGCGTTGGAAAAATTATCTCTCTTTCTTTCAAGTCAAGTACAGGGATGCTTACACGCGCTTCTTCACTTCACTTTTTCAATCAATATTAACGTTACCAGAGCATAATTAGTTATCGTCATCCATTTTCTGAAAATATACTTTTTTTGAATCTTTATCCGACGATCGTCATTTAGAATGTGTAAACTTTTTCCGAATGAAAAATTCAAAGGCTGTCTGAAGCCACTCATGTGGTTCAAACTGTATTCTTCGGATACCTCAACATCCATACAATAATACTGTATACAAGGACGACAACCTCAATTTAAAAATAATTTAGATCAAGATTGTATTCACACAGATACAGTAACTCAACACAAGTTAAAAGTCGAGACTGGATTCTGACACGGGAGAAAAATGGATATCAGCGAAAAATGTATGCGTGAAATGCGATCGTACTTTTAAAGTTTAACATCCAGAAGCACTGTCTCTAACTCTTGATGAACTATATTTATTGTAATCCTCAAAGTTGAGAATTGTTTACACTAAGTTTGCCAAACAGTGAAGAACTATCAGTCGGAAATTTGTTTCGTGCCAACGTAATGAAATTATACTGCGTAAATCGAACGTGCCACTCAAAAAAGGCTTGTTTAATAAAAATATGAAGAAGAAAAATTCGTGAATGGTGTGCCAGTTCATTGTTGATGGAAATGGAAGGACTGTACTCTACTGTGAAGTTTCAATGTACAGTGAGACCCCGAGATGCGGACATAATTGGTGCATCAAGAGTATCCCTAAGTCGAGTCTCATTTTCCCTTAGACTTACATTATATGATTTTTTAATTGGTGTTTTACGTACAAAATACTCACCATAATTCAATGAAAATAAGAATTTTCTTCCAATTTAAACTGATTCCAATCAATATATTTCAACACAATATGGGCATTTGGGAAATTGAATACTGATACAGTACCTCTCCACAGTACATAGACATTTTGGCTGTAAAAATAATATTCAAGTGAAAAGAGAGGAGGAAGTCCCTCTCTGCTGGAAGTAATTTTTTATAATTAGCTATATGGATGGTAAATTGGTGAGAGAAATGCCCAAGACCTTTTCTTACATCAATTTTAGGGTTAAAAATCTCTGTTTCTCGTAATTTGGCCTGAAATGTATTTGCAATTTTATAACAAAATGTCCCTATGTCGAGTCAATGTCCTCATGTCGGGCCTTTTTTATTCATTTTTTATGAGAAAATAAGTGTCCCTATGTCGAATTGTCTGCAGGTCGAGGTGTCCGCATGTGGGGGTCTCACTGTAAATTGAATACAGCAGTGCAATCAACTGTAACGATGTCCGCGGAAAGAAGGCAACACCGAAAGCCTAACAATAGAATGGCGGGTATTCCAGAAAAAGGGCACGTTGACAGCCCGTCTCCCGAACCTCTCGGTGATTAACAGGATCAACAAATGACCCGAACCAATGCATTTTCTCGGAATCTCGATCTATCTATCCCTGATTTCGACATTCTGTAGCAACAAGAATTGAATGAAGCACAGTACAGTCCGAACATCCCATACACCGTTTTGGTAAGACTCTACTGTACTTCCAAGGTTTCGACGAAAAACGAATGAGCTGTTCTTTCGCTACAGCGTCCAAGCAGTTTCTCCGTGAGTGATTTTAATAATTTCCGACTCAATTACTGCATTCGCGGGCACTAGATTTCTCTATAGGCACCGAAAGAGACGGTTCCCGAAACATTCAATTAATCCAGATGCCGTAATAAATTTCTTTGCTCGGAACGTGTCTCGACAAGCCGAACACGGGTTTACGAGTGCTGCAGTCGTGGTCGGACAGAACACGCGGACGGTTCGACATCGGAAATAAACAACGCCTGCCACAAGAGATCAAAGGTGAAAGATGATAAAACATGAGGTAAATCCTAGGAATACACAATCGCAATCGAGAAAATTTTAATCCTGGAAATTTAAAAGCTCATCTTATCGGGACTTCGATTAATTGAGAATTCGATCAACTCTATCTCAATTTCGATTCGTGGTATGAAAACGAAGTCTGCAAAAGGTAATTTGGATTCAAGTCACTTTACTCCCTAGTAAACAGTGATAAACTGATCCGGAATAATGCAGTTCGGAATTTGTGGGAATGTCGACAGAAAATAGTTACTCTTGCCCATCGCTGGCACCACTTCTCTGAATGGTTTTAATACACGCGTTGCATAAGGCATTCGATTGTCTGTTGGATTTGATCACCCAGGGAAAAGCCCTCATTCAATAGTCCGGATAATTCAAATTCTACTGCATTACAGTAGGGCGAGAGATAAAATTCAACAGATAATCGCCGAACTCGTGTTCTAAAATTTACAGCAAATGCAACTTCCCATGGCCGGGAATGAAAATAATGTTCGACACATTTACCACGTAATTCCTCATTTCGATCAAAACTCTCCTCATACATAGCAAGACATTGAAGGATATCATAGAAGCACCGAGATTCATGAAATTGCTGGTAAGTCGTTGAGTGTACAGTACATGATTACAGCGTTTCCTTTTTCTCAAAATCTTGGCAATGAGAAAATCGGGCTCGCGTCTAGCTCGAATGCAGAGTACAATCGGTTTTTACGAAATAAATTTCCAGATATCTTTGCAAAAATCGAAACTCGTCTCGCACAGCCGCGCGCGGCATTTACACGTGGAAGAAACAAAGAGCCCTAGACTAATGTCATAATTTTACAATCAAGATGCTTTAAATCTGGAAAATGGGAAACAAACGTAAACAGCAAGACCTCACTTCAAGCCTAACCCTGCAGCATGGGATTCGATGGGGATGGAAATGAACGGGAATCGGACTTCGAGGAACTAACCGAGATGATTGGGATTCGACGACGCGGACCAACGCTTCGAACCATCGTCCGATTCCCAAGCGAACACGTCGATCTGGTCCGACACGAACGCCGGCACGTGGCACTTGAAAAGCGCAGTGTTGCCTCGAATCACGAACGCGTCATAAACCTGGGTCTCATACGACTGGGCAACCACTGAAACAAAAGGGAAAACAAAGGTTTTGTTTTCGAAAACAACAGATGAAAAGTCGTCTTTGCACAACCTCGCGTTTTTTTTTAGGAAACCCTCGCAGCATATGACATACCCCGTTCGCGTTGAAGTTTATGCCAACCATGTTACCTCAATATAACCTCCATTAGCCAGACTGACGAACGGGTAACTTTGCATGAATGATCAAATACCACGTATTGTCAAAAAGGATATAATCACTCAAAATGACCCGATGAGTGATATCAATGAGAAAAGCAGGCATCAGAGATTAACAGTATTCGTAAACTTTCGTAGAACTTCCTTGAAGTCCGTCATGTGCAATCGTGCACTTTTCCTGATACTTTTGAAAAAAATTAATTTTCTGATATTTTGTTCGCTTATTGATTTTATTTGGACGATCTTGATTCAAAATAAATTTTCACAGACAATTCAATTCGATCTAAGGCAATAAAACGACACAAATTAAAATTTAATACCCTGCAATACATTGTTACTCGAATGCAAGGTTAATCTAGGATCAATCGTATTATTGCTGATGAATGAAGGTGAATATCCATCATCTCGAAACATGATTCGGTTTTCAGAAAAATTCCAAGAAGCAGCTGAATAAATCCGCATGTTCGACAATCCTAGAGTTATAACCGCGAATTGAATTCATGTTTATTTCGATGCCGGAATTTCGCGCCCGTCGATGGTTGAGGTAATATAGAAAAATATAAAAACATTAAATTACGAAAGACATCCATAGGTTTTCATTCGACAATACCAACGCTGTTTTCGCGGTGGCGGCAAAAAAATACCATATAACCCTCGCCATCGAGCTGGAAGAACCGTAGAAAAGACCATTTCGTCTAGGAACGTAAGAGTACATCGATTTCTCGTCATGTCATCTTTACGTATACTGTACTGGATAAACGACAAATTATGGACCAGCAAAGATTCCTGAATACGTGGTCTTCATCGTGGGAAGTTACGAAGACAATTAATTCCTTATTGTCAAAACCACTGCTCCTGACTCACGCAGTGCAGAATCGGGGAGTCGCCAGAGCCGAAAATTCGTCCCAGAAAAGCTTCATCTATGCAATGACCGAAAAAGAACTACCATAAATAGAATGACTGTTGTGATGGTACACAGTGCCCGCATCATCTTCCCAAGAATCGACACGGATCACGTCGGCGACGAAGCTCGGGATCTTACACTTCAGCAGCACACTATTGCCGCGAATCACGTATTCGTCTTCCGTCCTCGTCTCATACGGCTGAAATACAGCTACACGAGCGGGAGAAAATAATCGGCGAAATATTGATATCCGATGAACAAACACGGAACTCTTATTCTATCAGGTTTTCCTCGTGCATGTATAATGACGCACAATAAGGTATTTTCCTTTCCCCTCCTACACACACGCCGCCCCGGGAAGCAACAATTGCCAGTGAGCAAAATGGCTCAATTGAGGGTAGAATCGTGTACCAGAAAGTGCGGAGGCAGGGGCAGATAATGCCGTCGGGAAATACGTTTTCCCCGCGTCATCCTCCCACGAATCCACTTTAACGAAATCGGCGACGAAGCTCGGAATCTTGCACTTCATCAACACATTGTTCCCGCGGATCACGTAATCGTTCTCCGCCTCCGTTTCGTACAACTGGGCTACGGCTGAAAGGCAAAAGGGCATTCACATGCGGACTGAGTTTTCGGTCGTCGTCGTGCGATTTTCATCCGGAAAGCCCAGGGTTTGATAGCATTCGCGGAGATCTTTTCACATGCTATCACACTCCAAAGGCCACACATTTTCATGATTCCCGTGAAATTAGAGAAAACAAATTTTAGTTTCACTTGATCAGACGAAGCTACTAATCTCCGAACGAATTGTAAAAAGGTCATGGCATTCAAGTGATGTTTCAGTTGACGAAACAGATGTTATAGTGATACCACAAATGAATAGAAAACATATGCCATTTTTCGTGATACTATTCATCGAACAGAACTAAATTCTCCATGAAATGTATTTTCAGAAAAAGGGAAAATGTTACAGCAAACAAAAGCAGTAAGATTTCCGCCGAAAGGATAGTGGAGAGAAGCATCACTTCGAAAATCTACGCAACGAACAGTTGAAAGCCTTTTAAAGATTTGAGGTGCAAATTTGTGGACCTCTACAGATGTGTACAATGGTAAAACATTCCCAAGATCAACAAGCAGCGAAGTTCGATTGATTTAAAAATACAGAACACGAGAGAATGACTTTTGCTAAATCGCATGACGAAGGAAAGAATCAGCCAAATAATGAAGCCGGTCGATCAGACGACGAACCAATGAAATGTAAAAATCCCAGGATATATGTTTGTTCTTTGCTTTTCAGTTTCCCCGATTAAAATACTTCGGTGCCAGAGTCCAGGTGGGGGGTATCAGTTGACTTTCCGAACCCGCAAATTTACCATTAACGTTATCCGAGCGATAAAAAACTTGGCCTTCCGTGGTTTGCCACGAATCCACTTGCACGAAGTCGGACACGAAACTCGGAACTTCGCACTTCAGGATCCCCGAATTCCCTCGGATTACGTAAACGTTGTGCGTTTCCGTCTCGTACGACTGAGACACCACTGGACAATGCAAAAGAATTCGCACCGCATGAGCGAACCGAACCGTTCCGAATCGACGTTTTCGTCGCACTTGACCAACACTGACCAAGAAGCCCAGGCTTCACTCTCCCGAACGAGTGACGAAATCGGAAAAATACTGCAACTGATTTCGTACTTGTGGAGAAGTCTACAATGCGTTGGCCTTGTTAAACGGTTCTCCGTCACGAAAAGGGATGTAATTAGGAAATCGTTATTTGCTGGTTCACGGATCAATACAGTTGAGATACACTGTACTGCAGTTCTCCGGGCATTCGATCAAACCTGCCCGAATTCTGATTCCTCGGGAAAAGCGAAGTGGTTCGCAGAATTTTGATTTAGCTGTTTCATTTCTATCTGAATGATTAATCCTATACGCTGTTGAACGTCGAGATTTGCAGGATTCCCGGTGATACCCCGATTATATACCACGGCATTCTTTATAATTTAAATTGTTTACTCTGCAAGAAACATCACTTTTCGAAGTACTGTATGTTCAAAATATCCGATTACCCGTGATACGGAAAAAAGCACTCCGCTTTCCGCGCGGATAAGGATCTCTGACGGAACAACTTCAAGAATGAAAAAAGAAAGAAATGTATTACTGTATCACAAAAAGGGATGAATCGAGGTTTCCGGCGTCGAAGCAATAATTTCTCGGAAGGTCGATGTGGTCTTCAGTCGCTCTTCATAATGAACACGACGTTGCGACAAGGGACAAGCATATTTCGTGAGAACATGAAATCGGAAGCGACACGAACGAATCAAGCGTTAATCGAAATGGCCTCGGGGTGGGAAATCGGTTGCCGAAACATTTCCGGCTCAACTGAAGCGTAAATGAGCAAGATTTAGAATTTAAATTCGTCCGTTTACCGAAAGAACCAGAAGATGGATAAAACGTCTGTCCCTCGTCATCCTCCCAAGATTCGATTTTCACGAAGTCGGCCACGAAGCTCGGGATTTCGCATTTCATGATGGCGTTGTTACCCCGGATCACATATTCGTTGTCAGCTTCTGTTTCGTACGACTGCGATACGACTGTGAAGTTTCAGCATGCATTAACACGGATTTTCAGCAAAATTATTATTTTTTCTTTTACAGGAATCCTGAAAACCGCGGAATTTCCGCGAGTCGCGCATAAGGAGAGTAAAGTTACGGCTTTGGCACCGCCTTCAAGACTGAATTCCGTTAAATGTTTCGCACTCGGTTTGGAAGGAAAGAATAAAGAAAAGGAAGTTGTGGCGTGGTTGTTGATTTTACCACCTCGGGGAAACATTTGCCCACACGCCTGAATGCGTACAAAATGAATCTCTTTATACCATAAGAACCGGCATTGCGATGAAAAGAGTCCCCCTGATCGGTGGTCCATTCGTCCACGGTCACGTAATCAGCCACGAAGCTCGGGATGTTGCACTTGAGAACCGCCGAATTTCCCTTAATTATGTACTCCGTAAGCACTTCCGGTTCGTAAAACTGCTTCAGCACTAAAAAAATATCCCCGGTTTATTATAAGCTAGTGAAATGAAAATCGGGTTACAGTCGTTCGAACGTCCACCTCAGGTGACCCCAATTACCCCTGGTGATTCAACCGAAAACCCCTTCGTACCGAACCGAGCGTTATTGGCGTAATACGATTCGTCATCGCTGGCGGTGTGCCAAGACACAACCTCGACGAATTCCGCCACGAAACTCGGGATGTTGCATTTGAAAATCGCTCCATTGCCCGTGATGACGTACTCGTCAGCAACTCCGGTTTCGTAAGTCTGGTGAACAACTGTAAGGGCCCACATCCGTTACCCAAATTGAAGTACCGTGCTGCACTGGAAGACCCGTTTGTTTTTTTTTCTTTTATCCCGGCATTGAACCGATGCTCCGGCTTAGAAGCCACGCGCGGGGGAAACTGTTCATGAAAACACGTGGTTCTCATGTGTGCTTCCTTGGAGAGCATGCCTGCACATATCCTCGAGATAAACTTTTCCGACTATCGTTATACTTGATTATACAGTAATACGACTCCGAGGAAATTCACGGCATAACTAATATTTTCCCTGAATGAATACTGTATACGCAACTTCGGGTCACCATAACGGGATGAAAATTTCAGTCGCTTGAATAAATGAGGCTCGTTTGTTCACTGAAAGTTTTATCAGACGTTCTCAAACTTTCAAATAACGGATTAAATTTCAAATTGATCGCTAAGACGGAGCCCACCCAGAAAATAATTTTTCATAAAATAATTTATGGTTACAGAGGTTTCAGAAATCGGGTACCTCGATCATTCCCCATTAGGGTACATCAGTCTTTCTGTCTTCACGTGCATGAGTTGATCTATTCCACCCTAAAAGTAGTACATTTTACACGAATTTCGTTTTTTTTTTAACCTGCGGAGCCATTGAAAAATCCATAAGTTCTAAGAGCTCTATGTAACCCATTATTTAAAGCGTCAGGTCTAGAGTAACTTTCTCAATGTTAAATTGAACTTTTGTATGATTCAGCACGAGTGTACTCAAATCACAGATGCGGACAGCTACCAGAAGTGTATCGATGGGAGAAATATGGCCATGACTATTCCAAAAATACAGAGAATACCTCACGAAGAGCTTTCTACACTCAATTCAGAAATTAAATGTTTACGGCAATAGAACAAAAGAAAAGAATGCAAGCCAGTTAAATGCTCGGCAGGCTTTTGCTAGATGGACCGCGGGGATTTTGCTTTGTTATTTTCCGCAGAGTGGACAGAGCAGCCAAGTCGTAGAGAAACCACCAAGGGTTTTACGCTTTCAGGAAACCATTTGGTTTTCTTGAAATTCTCCCATCAAACCCCCCCAAAAAAAGGAATTGCTCTTTCACCAGCTCTGTCCACAGTGGGCCTCTTCGGAATAATCGTGCCGTCATCCGTTTCCCACGCGACAACCTCCACAAAATCGCTCGCGAAGCTTGGAATAACGCAGCGAACGATTCCGTCGTTCCCCACAATTACATGTTCGTTGTTCACCTCGATTCGGTAGCTCTGATCGACGCCTAATAATAGCGAACCCATAAAGTGAGTTTTTTAAAAATAACGCGACGTGGAAAATCATAGGCGATGATTCTGCATATTGCATGAACACGCCCCCTGCAATTCCTCATTTATTTGATAGAACGAAGGCTGGTTCATACATTTTGTCAGTACAGTACAGTATTATGCACCCATCTTTGGAATCTTTTCAGGTGCTTGGAGATGAGTGTAATTTTCAAGAACTAATTTTTCAAAAATGTCCTGGAGCTGTTCAAATTTTTTGCTGCCTTTGGTTGAATGAAAAAAAGACAGCGTCCAGAAACTGCGCTACACCCATCTTTCACCTGCATGTTTTACGAATTTGGAGGTGATCTAACAAATATTTCATGCACATAAAAAAATCTCCTTGACAATTTTCCAGATCTAACAATCGTTTTTGAACAAACACATAAATGTCCTCTGAGGCTAGATTTTCTTGTAACAGTGATGCTGAACGTCAAGTTTGCCCTGAATTCACAATATTTGGCGAGCAAAATTTAGCTATTCGAGGAAGTTCTTTACACATGAACGGACACTTGCTTAAAGTCTCGTTCTGCATTTGATCCCAAGATGATTCGGAAGAATCTGACACTTGGGTACCTGAAGAAAAGTGTCACAAGGTACTGACAAAATTTTTTGAACCATCCCTCGTCCGTATCCTCTTTTACTCAAAGAAAATTTGTGAATCAACGTTGATTTTGCGGAGCTTTTAACGTGAATTTCTTAATGATTGAAATAGAATCCCTTGCTCAGCCACCAACGCTCAAGAACAACCTCTTGGAGTTGTGACATCAACACCTCGATGATACATTATAAGCGACAGTTTTGATCCATCAATTAGAAAACCCCCGTGAATAATTTTGATCACACCCAATTTAAATGTGAGAGCATCCCTTTTTTTCAGAAAAACGCACGTTGGGCGTGAGAATATTTGGTCATTCTATGAAATATTAATTCACGCGCCCGCGCACGCTCGTTTTCGCGCAGTTTTGAATCTGGGATTCGAACCCGGAACGATCGCGATAGCTGCGGAAGGAATTGTATTAGTCGGTCACACAGTAACACATATTTTTAATCGTGTCGGATCGGGTTTGGAGCTATATTTCGACGGAAATGATAATTTTAATGAGGTTTCAAATTTTTAAATTTATCTATTTTGACTGGCACGCCCAAACGTGCGCTCAAAAATCAAAGCACCTGCCGACAGATTCGTTTCCGTTACAGGTACTCAAAAACAATTGCCTGTAAGGCAAGCTTTTCGAAACAAATCGGACCTCGTAAATTAACATCGAGCATAAATCATAAATGGGCAAAAACACGCTGCACTTTGTATAAAAATAACTGATCACATTAATTTTATACAGCACTACCCGTCTTCTAAATATAGTACAGTAGAATCAGGTCGAGTAATTATTCGAATATGTAATTATTGTACTTGAAAATTCGCCGATATGGACAAAATGTTACCCATTCTACTTTGAAGATTGAAATCAATCAATACTACAATTGATGAACTGAGGTAATATCTAAAAGAATTGTCAAAACTTTACGAAAAGGACAGAAGCAGCGGAATAAAAGTTAACTACATACATGATCCCATAAAAAGCGGCATTAAATTCGAACCGAATTCTCCATGGACGAAATAGCTCCAAACCCGTGAAGGAATGACTTCCACGACCCGTGACAACAGTGCAAAAATCAGAAATCTGATTGAAAATATTTTACAGTAATTCCACAAAACTTTATCTGTACTTCCAGCATCTATGTGTAAAAAGATCTATGTTTATCTGAACAATTTCCTCTGTTTATTTGAGCGAAGCAATTTCAGCGCTCAGCAAGAATATTATGGCTCTCCAAAAACATAATTTCTGATTTCTACGTAATACATACTGTACCGCCGAAACGCCAAGCCAAATGGGTACAGACAAGCGAAAACGTGATATGATGCTGGAATACTGTACAGTATTACAGAAACCAAAATCATAGGAATCAACGGAATAATCACGGTTGTTCCCAAAAATTGCTTGAATGAAAAAAAGCAGAGGTCAAGACATCTGCGGTCACGGTTCGAAGAAGCCATTCGACAACGACGACAACAAACAAACAAAAAATCTCGAGCGGCACCGGCTCTATAAAGAACCACGCAATTGACATTACCTGCTCGAACTTTGACGTCCCTTGAGGTGATCATTCCTTGTGGGTTCTGTGCCAAGCATCTGTACACCTGTGCGTGAACTTCCTGTCGGTAATCTTCCGCGCGGAAAGGCGGGAAGATGAGCGTGCCGTTCGGCAAGACCTGAAACACACGAGGACATTAAAAGTAGATCGATCAATGATGAAACAATTTCTGGTAAAACAATTAATGATGACGAAGAGCTGGGCAAATAATTAAAATTTAAAAATCATATTCAAAATGTCTTCGACGCGTACAACGGATGCCCGGGTTCTTCAGCGGGATCGCGTTTGATTACTCGACAGTTTCGGAAAAGGATTTTTCAAAGGGCGAAGTTTATTTCATACAGCCAAAAACATTTCGATTTTTTTCAAAAATGCGCCAGCTTTCTAAGTTCAAAGACGATCACGCTAAGGCAATTTCTTCATTGCACTCGAAGTTCTACTTAAACATTGCGCTTTTTACCTGTTTCGGAAGTTACAAGTTTTGAAGGGCAAGGTCTCCATCAAGTCAGAGAGTTATTTACATATACTGTACAGTACTGTACAGCGCTGTGCAGGGGGATTTTAGGGAAATCAAAAATTGCTTTCATTGAAGAGTTTCGGGGCTTCTTGAAAATAGAATAAAAATTTCACATCCTCCAGCACGCCAAAATATCTCTCGTATTCCCACGCTGAACATCTTCCTACTGCCTTTTGAGTTTCACACGAATCGTCTTCGGTTACAAACGAGCCCCAGAAGCTTGACATAAGTATCACGAGGTCATATCCGAAACAATGGGCTTCTCTTGTTTTCGTGGCAAAAACAACAATAGCAACGAACGAACATGCTACGAACAATTCCGACCTCCAACGACTTAATCGCGGTGTTCTCTCGCCTGAACAGTTTATACGAAGACAGGAAAACGCACCGAAGTACTGCATTGTGTTGAGAAAATACAGGGTATTATCAAATACGATCTTCATTGCAGAGATTTTTGAAATAGTACGCGTTTCACTGATGGTAAGCAGGATTGTCATAAAGTTGAGGCAATCTTGCATCTTGCTTGTCTAGTGCCACCGGATTATTTAAGAATGAATTTATCTCCTCTAAACCCCGAGAGGCTGAAAACTTGTGAATTAAGAGCCTGGCAGGTAAAATATACTAATTACAGTACTAGGCTTTTTAGCCAGAAGAACGTATTGTATGATACAGCACTTCAACAGGTCATGCACCCAGTAGGTGTTGAACAAACAGTTGATAGCGGGACAATTCACGAAATTAAAAAAACTTTCGGGCTTCATCAAAATGAATTGCGCCGATTTTAACTTTTTCGAATCGGTGAGAGAGAAAAACAGATTAGGCTTCAAACGACAAAAAAAAAGTTTCCAGATTTCGAAAACCTGAAATTGAGCATTCACAATTCAGCATTAAAACATTCATGAGGACTGACACATGTGAAAATGACCAGATTCGAAACAAGCGCTGATTTCCAACAGACACTCGAATTGACACTTCCCGTCTTTCTGAAGTTGAACAGACAAGTGAAATGCATAACTTTCGGTTGTCAACTTCTGGAATCGTCATGTTCAGAAAGTTTACATCCGTGGGTGGTTTCGGGAAACTTTCATTTTATTCAGATATTTTACAGCACTGCATACTGTATCGTGAACTTGCCATTTAAATATAGGCACGTTCTTCGTCCTTGCTCGGCGTGCCTCCGCGTTACGCTCCTTAGAAGCGAGAGATACTATGATTGATCTGGTTTGATCGTAATAATTACGAGTTAATGAGAGGATTGCGTTTCAAGAGCTGTAACAACCAGGTTATCGGTATGCACCATTTCTGGAGGGACAGGTTGAACGCTTCGGTCTGGTTTTCTCACGCTGTGGGTACAAGGGGTCGATACACTTGGCTGAGCTCGGCGTTCCGGGCAGATGCATGCGTGCGATGCTTATCGAAAAAGCGGCGCGAAGGAAGAGACGATTGAAAAACCAGCTGATGAGGGCAGACGAAATGAGAATAATCACACCCGCATGCTCATTATGAAACGCTAGTTTATTAGGAACTTCCGCTGCCGGGGTGGGGCGTGAGTTTCGGGAGCCCCGAGCACGACGCTATTGTCGACTACAACGTCGTCGTCACTTTTCAGTCGACGAAATATTTTTTTTTGCTTTTTATTTTCACCTCGGCATTGTTTGCAACCTTGCTGCACTTTCTCAATGTACGATGCGTTTACTTTCGCGGGGTAATAAGCCTAGCCTTCCTGTGGCTCTTCTTTCGTATTAACTCCGTCGCATCCCTACTTCCGTCCATGTGTCAATTTTTTACGGCTTTAACAGTTCCACTCAAAGACCGTGTTTAATCGAGGAACATTCAACGGAAATTTAAGATACGATAGTATCCATTTCCTGAAAAGGTCCCGAAATCCCCAGTAGAACTTCGAGTAACCGCGGCCCGAATAAAGTATTAATATTTCTGATACAATATTTCGTTGATTTCACGAGATTAAAAAAAAATACAGTGCGTCCCGTATTACAAACGGGCCGTACAACGAAATTTTCGCATTGCGAACAGTTAATAAGGAACAAATTTACAAACATAACGAATTTCTGACAAAAACACTCGAATTTCAGCCAATTTTGATCCAAAACTTATGGAACTATTGAAAAATCGAGAAAAATGCAAGGGTGTTTCATGTGTTTCATCTTCTTGCAGGTGATATTTTTGAAATTATGAAAATTATACGTAAAAATTTGACCGGATTACTTCAACTTAATAGAGAAAGAAATTTTATTCCAGTTTTTAAGTATGAAACTTGTAAAATTATATTGTTACAAGGTTTTTGTGTGGGTGTGTGTCTGGATCGAATTAAATTATTCACAGCGCAACCTTACGGGAAATAGCGTTTCACATGACGGAAATTATGCACAACAAAGAGCATCCAGGAATTAATTAGTTTCGTTATGCGGAGATCCACTGTACTATACAATACAGTATTATCCTTGAGATTAAATGAAGGTCGATGGACGAAAAAAATATTAAGTCAAGCATTAAGTCAAGTCTCTTGCAGAATATTTTTTAAAAATCGATTACTCGCGGTTTTTACTACAGTACTCTGAAGAATGCATCGGGTAATTACGGTAGCACGGATAAACGAGGTTATCGTCCAACAAGCAGGACAAACAATAGATTCTAAACTTTTCTTGATATTACTCGTAGAAATGGAAGTTACCTCCTCGTTCAAAACCCATCAGTGAAAAAAAAAATTCCTCGGCAACATTTTTTACCTGTTTGCTGACCAGAATAAGAGTAACAGCTTCAAACCCACAGAACCCCCAAAGAAAAAAGATACAGTACGATAAATACTGAAGGGTGATGTATGGCGATAATTATGTCACTCGCGATCGTTTCGTTAAGCTAGACCCGCGGCGAGGGGTTTTTGGCTCGTTAACATGCTCACCTGTCGGAGTCCTTGCACTTCGCCAATGACCGTTCCGTCTTGTTTAACCCACGTGACTTCGGGATGCGGGCTGCCTCTCGCAGCGCATTCAATCACTGCTCCGGTGGAGTTGGAGAAGTCCACCTGATTCGGCGGCTCGCGAATGAAGAATGGTCCATCAACGTCCTGCGCGGAGCCTGTGAGGAAAAAAGAAATTTTAAAAATCTCATGAAATGCACCCTGAATGTATTCAACCATCGACCATTTCAAGACAATCGAAAGTCCGTGAAGACTCTAAACCAGAGCTGCCCAACATACGGCCCGCGGGCCGGATCCAGCCCGCAGAGAAGCTTCATCCATATCAAAACGCCTTCCCTATAATTTTCAAGGTGACAGCCGCCACTATTCAAAATGTATTTTGAAAGATGAATTTAAAAATCAAAATTGTGTTCCATCCTTGAAAAAATATATAAGCCTATGCTTGTGACTCAATGCATAGCATTAAATTAAATTTGAAACTTTTATTTCATCTAAAAGGGGAACATTTTGAATCTAAAAAAGTATTGTCTATTGTGGCCCGAAATGACTCTCCATCTCTACAATGTAGCCCTTGGTCACAAAAAGGTATTAATGTGGTCCTTGGCCACGTCTGAGTCGGGCTGCACTGCTATGAACGTCTTGTTCATACCAACAAACAGGAATGATCCGAGTTCTGTGGTCGCACAAAGCATTGATCCACGACGTTATACGAAGAAATAGCTATCGCTCAATTCTTTCTGACAGGGAAAATGTTTCACAAAGAAAAACAAAACAAACGAAGAGAGATTCCACACGACTATATAAAAATAGGCCATCTTGGTTCGAGAAGGATTATTCCGAAAATTATTCAATCGCGGAAATAAAGCACATCTGAAGCTACAATATTACCGTCACTATGCTTCAAACTTCTCTCTGTCAAATGACGATAAACGAAGTCAGTTCAAACACGAACAGAAAAAGAACAATGAAGAAATGTGGGAAAATCTTCGAGACTTTGCAGGCTATTCAAACGCAGTAAAAAAAAACCGCCCGATTTATTTCACGTAATTACATTCAGATCGCAGACCACGGACGGTTTCTCTCACGCTTCAAGATGGGAGTCGTAGAGAATGCGACTTTCGCGTGTGAAACCGATTTCCGCCCCAAAATCAAACAGACCTGCATCGTTGATGATACGATGAAATCAAGAAATCCCTCATTGGGTAAACAGACGCAATCGTGAGAGAGAAGAAGAAGAGTGATTTCACTGGTGGAAAAGCGTATACAACGTTGGAAGGAACGTTGGCCCCTCGGTCTACGATCGGTTTCGAAAAAAGTGCGAGTGGCCACTTCGGACCCCGGCAGACGAAATTAGAGGTGCAATGCGGTTTCTCGGGGTAATTTCCCGAAGGTCAGTTCCTCGGTGGGAAGGAATATCGCACGAAATTTTGACTTGATTTCCACTAACCTCTGAACTTCTCTTACGAAGGAAAGAAAAGCTGAAACCGCGGTCAGAGTATCACATGGCAGGGGTAAAAGGCAGCAACATTCAAAAATACATTTTAACCTGAAAAAAATATTTAAAATACAGTAATTTTAAAAATGAAAACAGTCACGACGACCAGCTCGACTTTTCCCACCAACATCTGCTATTTCTGTAAGTAAGCAGAAATTTCAACAAAAAAAGCACAGCACGTCAAATGCAGTATTCAAATAGCAGATTACAGCACAGGGAATCACACCGATGCATTATGTCGTGGCACATTTTCAGTTTTCAGTCTGCGAGGAAACCAGAATAAAGAAAGATCTCATTGATTTCGTTCGTTTATTGTGATGATGAAATCAGTTTCCTGTGAGAATGCATTCGACGCAGATGCTCATTTCAAAATAAAAAAATTTGAGAAGAGTTGAACCTTGATGAGGTGCTGTGAGTAATTTATCATACAATCCGAAGAAGATATTAGAACCGGATAGATGAATAAATGAATGCAATAAACAATGGTATAACCTCGAGATGTGTTAGCCATCTAATTTCCCGGCCGCCAATCCTCATAAATTTACCTTCACAATTTTCCAAGTAAAAAAGCGGATCATAGAGAATATTCTTCGACTATGAGAATTACGAGGAGTTCATTCCGAGTAATGATTTTCAACACACTTCAGCTAATCTTCGCTGCTTTTTAGTCATGATTTCTTTTCTTTTTTACCACAAGCGTTCTGGAGCGTTATGAGTTGATTTCATGTTCAATGATTAAGTTTTGCGATGAAATTATCTGGATCAAGATCCCATTCTCGTTCTTTCTCGAAAAGAATATTGATGACAATCGAACGGTGAGTTGAGAATTTTTCAAGAAAGATTTCTCGGAAAAATTTATTTTCACGCAAGATCCATGTTGAATTTGTTGGCTCTCAAGAAAACAATCACTTTCAAGTTTCAATACTGAAATTAATGCTTGCACCATTGATTCACCATTGATAATTTCCTTGGGATGTAATTTGAAATCGTTTTCTAATGACGGTCACAATTTCAGTAGACGATGAAAACGTAACCTCGCCCTCGACAGTGATTTGTAGGAAGCGTTTGTCTCGAAAACACAGAACCTCGATTTTGTCCTCTTTTTCTTTTGCGTCGCCTGTCGACGCGAATTTCGAAGTAGGCGTTGAAAATAAATGGTTCTCAACAAGACAAATGGACTTCGGTTCGACGTTCAGGCATGTGAAACGGGTGATTCAAAGATAAACCGGAAAGCCTGACAAAACCTTGAAGTCTCCGGATGTGCGATGTCATGACGGGAGTAGCTACGATGGAAAAGTCGGTTGTGGATACCCTAAAATCGGATTTCCCCGAAAAGATGATACAAGCAATGGAAACGTTTCTCAATTTTTCATGGCAGGTTTTCATTCTGAACGTTTTTGAAGATTTTTAGACGTCGAACAATCGTCTAGAAGTATACAGCTCCTCACATTTCGTAGTTTGTGTAATACTATATTTTGTGTTTGGTGTCAATCTGTTCAGTTTTCTCAGCAGAATTCCGAGATCCAGAATTCAGAAGTCATCAAAAGATTTTTAAACTGTATGTCTGGCTTCATTTTCTTTTTTATACTTATGTAGAATTGGAAGATGCCCTGACCTAAAATTAATACCAACACCGATGAAATTGGGTTTGAAAAGGGTCAACCCGCAGAGAAAAGTGATTTTAAACCCATTGGGGATTTAGTATGGTTGCATAATCATGGATGGCATGCACCACTTGAAATGTCCGCCACTCTACATTCCATTTCGCCGATGATTCACGCGATCACAACGTGACACGCAGGTAAAGAATTGCAGGAAGAATACGCAGTTCGGGAGACCTAGCCTTCTTACGCTTCGTTTAAAAGCGGACTTTTGCAACAAGCATCGAAAACAAAACATTGCCTCATCGAAAAAGCTGGATGAAACTGAAATGGAACCACAATTCGTCGTGTCATACAACGCAATTTAGTGCGCGGAAATATCCAAGAAAGCAATAAGTAAAAATTGCCACCAGAGGGAAACCGCTGTAAATGTAAATGCTAAACCAAGGATTGCGAAGTTCCTTTTTTTACATTTTGAAGAATCGAAATCGAGAGAATTTCCACGTCGCCGGGATAATCGGAGTTCTACTGCAACCCGCATTAACTACGAACCATCATTCGGAATTTCTTGAACAAAGGCAAAGGAATTGTGTGAAGTTATATTGCCATTGAAGTGATCCGTTCGCGTCTGGCTTAGGCCAGCTTTTCCGACACGACCCGATGAGCTATGACCTATTCGCACCTTACGGCAGTTAATCGTCTCGTAAATGATGCTTTAGGATAAAACCGCGCATTAAAACGGAAACGGAGGAAAAATAAACCCAAACCATTTCACACCTTTTTCCGACCTGCACCCGAACATCATAATTTCAGAGGTCAAACAAGCCATCGACCGATTTGAGAAAGGAACTCAGACCATCATTTTTTTTACTGGAAAAAATGAAGAGAACCTGTTTTAAATCGGGAGCCAATACTGGGTCGGGGATTTAAGAATGATGTCGATTTAAGAGTGCTAATGAACATTGTACAGGAAAATTCAGCATGCAATTAAACTTGCCATTTCATTGCAAAACTATAGCAACGACGAAAATTAACTGCGGTGCATGAGGAGTTTCTTCCGACGACAGGCTAATCGCGCGTATCACTCCGCCTAGGAGCGAATGAAGGCGACGTGAGAAAAAAGTTCAACAGGTTAGTCCGAAGATCGCATTGGTAGTCAGACGGATGACTACGTGACACGAACAAGGAAATGATACTCTTGATACCGGGGTCAAAACCTCGTGTGTGGCTCCGAAATGGCGATTGGCGTGAAAACCTGAGAACTTCGAGGAACACCGCTCCACCGCAGTTGAATTTCGTGAACACCGAAAGTAATTAAACCTGCGGACGGCAAGCCCCGGTTTCGAACTTGGTCAAGAAGTCGGCGGTTTAATTCCAGCTAAATGATACTTGGATTTCTCCGCATTTTAACTCGCCTATCCTTTCACGAGACAAAGGAAAACGAAACGCTGCACGCAAGTAATCAATCCTTCGCACGTCCGATGGCCACGGATTACGTGCATTCGCGTTCCATTCCGTGGTTTCACGTGCATTCAAGTCAAGACTTTCTCGAGTCCTCACATTCGGCGCAAAGATCTCGAAACATTCAGAATTTCCAAAGAAACGACCAGTAGTTTGATACTACAGTACTGTGATTGTCTTGGCAACGGCTCGAAGTTCTCAATCTGAGCTGGAACTTAACCACGATGTTTCGCAGATTTCGTGCTGAAGTGCTTCGCACACAGGGGACTTTTAGTGTCAAGTGCAACCACTATCATGTTCTCAGGCAGCCGCGTGGAATAATGCTGAAAGGACGTGCGATTTGCGAGGGTATTTTCAGCCACTCTCGAACAAACCGAACCTGCAAACGTAGCCCACGAGAGCTCCCTATTATCCATGGAAACTTTCGGGTTCCTTTGTCGGTGTAATTCAATTTCACTGATGAAAGTTTCAGGCTTTCTAGTCACAGCGATCCTGAATAAAACGTTATCCAATGGATTGAAAACAAATCAACAACTACAGAAAGTAGCATTTTTGAAATTCCCACAAATATATTAGTCCTGATGATTCGCCGATCTGAGAGGGATGACGTGGCTCAAATTTACGTTACAAAACCCACGCTGTTTCCTCGAGATGTGGTGACACGGTTAAGCAGCCCCGAAATATTGAAATTTCATTGTACAGTACAGCCTCTTTTTTTCTTGATTCCCATGACAGAAATTCACAAAAACCGCATTTTTATTTTGCAGGTGGAATCTCTCTAAAACAAAATTTAGGGTATAAGAAAAATTTCGTTGTAGCGATAATTTCGCAGAAGAGGACCCTCTATAATACGGGTAGAGACCCCTGTGAGGCCAAAGCATTCCTTCAACAGAGAAACTCGTTGCGGATTCCATTTTTTTAGAGAAATTCTACCTGTTTTCAACAAAAGGAGAGAGATAAATTATAACTTTGTCTCCCCTCAAAAATTCTGTAGCCAAGCAAAAGCGAGAAAAATCAAGAAGAGCGTGCAGCTCGATAATAGCAGGCTCTCACCTCGCCGCTCCCATGTTCTAGTTCAACGACTTTAAAACACACAGGAAAACCAGGAAAGTATTTTCAAAAATACAGGGCAAAA